CGCCTGACTGACTCTCATGATACGACTGAGTATGCCTCATCGAGGTATTTCGCAGACTGTCTTGGAAGTTTGAAGTAGAGGCCGACTCTGACAATCGGTCACTCTTCTTCTGCTCTAGCAGTAGCCGAGCGTCTGTGTATGTTTTCCTCGACCCGTCCGCCTGAATATGACGAACAGGTTTCCTAGTTCCTGGATTAGGAAAACGGTATTTTGTGAAATCAAGGGCAGTCGGCTCCCGCTTCCTAGATTTAGGATGAGGAGTCGCCTCTCGCCCTTGAACTGGCTTCCTCTTCTGTGAAGTGGAGGGTTTCTTAGCCGACTGCTCCTTGCCCAGAGCAGGCGGCTTCTTGTTGATCAACTCTTGAATTTCTCCCTTGAAGTCCCTCATGAAGGTCATGAGTTCGTTCCTTGTGATGGGAGCAGACCCATCAGTCGGCTGCTGCCGAACAGGCGGTGCGCCTGCTGGCTCACTTCCAGTTAGAGGATGTTCCCGTTCTCTCCTTTCGGTATGATGGGTACGTCGGGCCCTTAGGGTCCCGTCTGAAGCTGTGTGAGCTTCAACTTCAAATTCATTCTCAGTATCGTGGTCCGACTGAACTAGAGGGTCGTCCAGGGGACGCCTCTCTTTAGGAGTCGGTACAAACGTGGATGCCATCTCAGAAGTACTCTCCCCACAGATGGCGCCAAATGTTTCGGGGTTTTCTGATGTCCTGCGGGAGAGTTACAATTCCGAGACTGGAACCGGACGCCTGTACCTGCAAAACAACGGAGACTCCTTGTGGTGGGAGCTCCGCCTCCAACGATCAAGTTAGTACTAGTTTAAGGAGTAATTAATGCGGAAATTAAAGTGATTGGGTCTCTCTAGGTGAGAGTGTTTAATGTAGGTAATCTGCTTTTTAGCGTGTAATTCATGTAATCTCCCTTAATGAGGATTAAGGGAGGTATTTATAACCTCGGGAAACGTGCCAATCTAGGTTTAGGTTAACCTTGGGCTGATTGGGCTTCCCTCGGAAGCTGCGCCTAGGTGACCGGTTATCCCAGGTGTCATGGGAAGGACACGTGTCGTGTCGTAATTGGTCCATGGTGGACGGATCATTGCTTGACACGTGGCAGGCTCCTATTAGCCCATGTGACGGACACATGGCGGAACCTGATTGGTCCACTTGTCAGATGGTGACTGGTGGGGAAAAATCCCCTAATCACTTGGTACCATTAAGTCATTATCAATTTATCATACTCGTACATATTTTCAATGCATGTCCAACGTTTAGTTTATCTTGTTTGTTTTTATCTGCTCAATCATGAAGCCAATACTCAGTATTTTTGCTAAATAACAACGCAATGAATCCAAAATATTGATGCATTGTGCGATAACGTGGTCCTTATAGTTGAGATGTATTGTGTTTCATCTATGTTTGGCATCAAGTAAATTTAATTTATATGTAGTATATGGGAATAATTTGTCAAAAATGGTACGGACTATCACACTTCACAACTAGGAATTAACGGCATAATATCCACCAAAAGGTTCCTTAAAGCAACTAATTTTTGGGTAATGATACACGTAGCCCTAAGGGTTATATACAAGAATTAAATATATTAGGAATTTATGACCAAAACACGCGTAAGTCAGTGTAATTAGTGTTTATTTTTTTTATTTACTAACTTTATACGATTAGTGTATATTCAATGCTTATATGTAACCATAAGAGCTATGTATAACATTTTCCTTTTTGAAAAAGGTTTTTAGTGTTAATTTCTTGACAAGTTTTGTATTCATTGTCATATCACCAGTTGATTTTATTAGGATGAAATCTTATTGAGTTTCCATAGGCTTAATTGCGTACAAGCCAATTAATGGAAATTTATCAAATGTACTCCTAGTCTATTGGATTGGAGAGCTTTCTTTAAACGAACACAAGTTCCCTCTACTCCAAACGAACAACAAATCAGTTATCAAATTTCTTGGTTGATCTTCATAGCCAAGGTAATAGGAGATGTTGGATCCATTTTCCTACACCACCCGCCACCCGGCACCTGCAAAGGCCGCTATTGTTTATAAAATCCATGAGTTATTTCTTGTGGCTGATTGGAGAGGAGAAAAAAAAAAAAAAAAAAAAAAAAACGGTGTTAAGGCTTTACTATGCTGCTAGTGCTTTGATAGCATGAAAGAAAGCAAATTAGTTTCTTGATTTTGATTTTACAATTAGCAAGAAGGTATTTATGCATGACAAACTGTTGACAATGCTGAACACAAAAACTATAGTAAAGATGGACTAAGCCCACGATACACTAGTCCCAACCTATTATCGCCTGAACATCCACCAGTAAGATAAACATTATGTTGAGTTATTGCCCTTACCGGTGAACCGACTTGCAAAGAATATCTTAAAATTAAACAGCCACTGCAACTGAATAAGGATCTGTTGTTAGTACCGTAAGCATGTACCATATGCAATGATAAGAACATATGAAGAAGATGATGACAACAGCAGCACAGCCTGTGTTTGGTATTGTGTAACACATTTCCAGCATAACTAGTTTTTGGAGATATTAATAACATGTTTATTTACATAAAAAAACAAACTAAGATGAGCTGATAAGGCACTCTTATTTTATCAATTGGAATACACAAAATAAGCAGATTACAGACAACACATCAAAGCTATCTCTAATTTACAAGATATTTCACCATATAACAATCGATGGCATTATTCAGCTCTGAAGTACTTGCTAGAAGAAGAAAAAAAAAAACACTTCATTTTTAAACAAAGCACTTGACAAAAATAGGCTGGGTTTGCACTGGTATGTTGAATCCAATACTTAGTTATTTTCTGCTTCAACTTCCTCAGGCTGCAGCCCTGCCTCGTTCTTATCTTTGATCGAAACCAGACTTTCCATGTAAGCAAAAACTCCTTCACACCACCTTTCCTTCTGAAATGCAAGATCTTTAATTTCTTGTGGTGTTTCGGGATCCAATAAGACCAGCTTACCATCAACACATTCTAGTAAGAGCCTGTTATTTCTCCAATGACCAACAGGACTCCGAATATCTGACAATGGTCCCACAGTAAATTTCTTGGTCCAACACTCCTCACTCCATATCCAAATTTCGAACTTCTTGTCTGTCTCATGGAGAGTCAGAAACGCAAGAGAATCATCATACACTCCAAGACACTTAGAACTTGGTTGTGCATAGTCTGGAACATCAATCTCTTTGAACGCATCAGTAGCCATATCAAAAGAAATGATCACTTCAGAACTATATTCAAGTGATCCAAACCAGTAACAACATCCATTCACATAGATGTAACATTTATTACTTTCCAAATCATAAGCTCTAGCCAGATCTCCGCAATACCTCCATGAATCAGTCCTTAACGAATAGACAAGGACTGACACAGGATGCTTGACATCACTTTCATCATCATCATTAGTACTCCAATAACCTTTCATAACAACCACCTTATAGTCTCCACTAACAGGATCAAACCCGAAACCATAAACTTCATTAGAAGCATAAGTGAATTCAGACGGAAGATCAGGCTTACAAATTATTTTAGGCAAGGGTTTAAATTCATTGATGGCCGGATTCCACAAAGCACGACCACTAGAATCGTACTGGTACAGATAATATAATCCATGACACGGACCACAAATATACGAGCTATACATTGGCATACTATATAACACTTCATCAGCTAAAACTCGATGAGATTCATCAAGCAACAGTTCATACAGCTGAAGTTCAGCATGGGTAACATAATATTGAACAAGGATACAACGGCGCCAACTTTCATCATTGTTATAGTAGTTATTCAGGTGTTTGGATATGAAATTTGGACTCGAAATAATAGCATGCCATGATTTGCAAACACTCTTAAACTGCAACAGATCTTTCACAGGTAACCTTGACAGAATCTCAATGATTAAATTTTCAGGCAAATGACCAATCCTTTCAATTGCAATTGACATTGACCTCTCTTTTTCATTATTAATTCTGAAAAATTAATCCCAAAAACATAATCAGCAAATTTAAAACACCCATCAAAAAATAAATTAAATTAGAAGGAAAGAGATATAAAGATTTGACCTTTGTTTCAAGAGATGATTAAAACGGCTGTTGTCATCTGACCAAGTGTAACGCTGCAAAGATAGAGCCATTGCTGCAACAAAACAAGAAGATTATTGGGTTAATTTTAACAACCAATTAACTAGTATATATAATGTATGAAATAAGAAATTGAAAGCAGAAAATGAACGGGGTTAGAAAATTTACAATTAAAATTCCAGGTTTAACGGCAAAGCAGGAAAACGAATGATAATTAGATGAAATTAAACATCAATTTGTTAAAGATTGATACAATACCTGGGTATTTGTTATAAAAGATTGATGGATCTGAATCTGGGACTGAAGAAGAAGAAGAAAATAAAAGTCAATCAAAATGACAAAATAATTGGCGAGTAAGTATGATGTCAATTTTACAAACTGAAAAAAAGGATAGTATTTTTGTGTCTATGGAGTACTTGTCTTGTTTAGTTGTTTACGTACGATTATACGAAAACTTGCGATATACTCCGTATATTTTTTCATCTTTTGTTTGTGTGCGCTTGCGAGTCCCAATACTTGTGATTATGATCGTTTTAGGGGTGCAATTTGGTTAACCAAATAAAGATTGGGTTGATGAGCTTTTGAGGGAATCAAGCCAAACACATAATCGCACATTATTTATTTATTTATTTATTTATTTTTGACTAATTTTGACAAGAAACACTCAATTTATGCGAGAGTTAGGATCTATCCTTGTTAATTTTTGTTAGGTCTACTAAAATCCATATCATTATGCCATCGATGATTCTTGTCATTTTTTAAATATGGAATGAAATAATGTTTATTGATCTGATAAATAAACAATTATTTGTCATTTGATAACTAAAACTATTGACATTGAAATCAGTATTATTGAATTAATGATTTATAAGGATTAATTGAAATATTATTTTTAGGCAACGACAATGAGGCTTAACATTACATGGATCTTGGTTATTGGTACATTGATACAAGTACACGCATGATTATTTATTCATATACTCCGTAAGAAGCTACGGATGGAGTAGTAGAGGTACGATACATGCTTAATTAATTGTCTCTAAAGTTGGCTAATGAAGCCATAATATGTACAAGATTAGAGCATTATTATTATTTTGAAGTGTTATTATAAGCTAAGGAAGGCAGCCATTTTAACATTACACAAGTGCAGATTGCAAGACTCCGACTATATATCATCGTCCAAAATCGAGCTTCCGATAACACTAAGGGTGCTAGACTTGTACTTGAGGAGCCCCATGTCGTTTTTTATTTCGTCTACTCTATTCACCTCCTGCCGGTAATCAACGTTACTTATTATAAGAGTTGGTGTAATAGTAACACATTTAGGTGTTGCTGCTTCTGCTTTATGTATAGCTTGAGAAATCGGATCCCAATCATTCTGAAAAGCCACCATTTTCTTTTTGAAGGAATCGGAATTATCCCCCCTAACTATTGCTTGCTCCATAAATTTGAACCGTGCTGCCTCTGGAACCATTTGGATCGCGATAAGAAAAAACCTAGCCTCATTCGTGCCCTTGTTTAGTTCACTCTCTTGTTTATTGTACACATTTCTAATGGCCCCGTCTAGGTTTTGTATTCCTAGTACAAGGTTCTTTCGAGTTGTACCAGCAGCTGGCTCTAGGCTGTTATAGTTACCTCCAAATCTAGTGGTTCTTTTAGTTGATCCTGGGAAAAGGCGGTCCTTAGCAGCCTGAGGAGCGTCACTAAGGAAATTGGCTCGGTACTTTCCATTGTATTTGACGTTGTCTTGATAAGCCCATACATATAAATCTTTGGCATCTATTCCTAAGGTCACCCATTGCGTGTTACTAATTTTGAGGTCTACTAAGACATATTCGGCTCCTGTTAAAGGGGGGTTTCGAGTTGATTGTAAGGTGCAAGCCCTAGTTGGGGCTTCTACTCGATTGCGCAATCTTGTTAGAAAACTTGAGTAGCCTGTAACACCGTTTGTTAGTTCAAATGTTACAGTGCTGTAGGATAGGGTTTCTCTGTCTTGCGCCGTTGTTAACGGTGGAACAACCGCCATCATCACCATCATGCACCACCATATAATAACCGATAATGGTGCTGCCAGCAACTTCATTTTTTTCTTGTTACCTTACCTGTATAATAATTACTGAGCATATTATAATAATTTAATTATACTGAATTCCCCTAGGCCCTAGCTACCACATGTTACTTTGATTGTATGATATCTTGTAAAATAATAATTTTTTTTTTGGTGTTCTAATCCGAATTCGGGGATCAGTTCTGGGTGGTTAAGTTCCAATCCCCTCCCAATTGTTGTTGCGGGAGATCGAACACAGGTCCTCCCTCAAGTGTCCACCAACACCCAATTGGTTCTTGTAAAATAATATGATAACATGTACACTAATTGTGATGGTATACATTAATTGAAAAATTAAAAATATGATGATGCAGTCATACAGATCGATCGAGTTTTTATTTTTTTAACGAAAAACATCAGGCCATCTTAGAAAAGGTACTAAATAAAAGTAATGTATGTAAGGCTTAGCTTTATCATATTACTTGTTCATCAACTCATAAAAAAATAAAAAAATTATTGGAAATATATACTTAAATATGTAAAAATTATTATTTTCAAGTCATAAAGTTTTAATACAAGTAACATCAAATCGGTAGAATTATTTTAAGTTTCAAAAATCATGTAAAAAGGCCATAATAATTTTAAGCTACCCACTTTTTAATTACCCGTCCAAAATTAAAAACCAGGAATATGAAATATGCATACGGAATACAATATAGATTAAAGAATTAGGCCAGAAAAAACAGTTTTCTACAAATGAAAAGATAGACAGTTGAATAATTTCACCATCATTTATTCAAGCAAGTAAAGATCGAAATTATTGCATAAGCTGTTGATAACAACACAATATCGTATACATTTTTTTTTTTGAAAACACAATAATCGTATACATAGTACGTAGTTAAAAGTATATATACACTGATAAAACAATGCATAATTATTAATGATTAAAGTTAGCTCCAAATTGAACCAAATACACAAAACTAAACATAAATGATTGGAAATTTGGGATAAAGAAACTTACGTAAATATTGAGGCGTTGGATGATGAAGAAAATGAGTGGTAACTAATGTGTGATAATTTAGTGAAAGACAAGGTCTAATGTGTAGCTAAATCTTCTTAAATAGGCAAATAGATCAACTTGCTAAGGAATAAGGAACTTATTAATTCAGAAACTTAATGATTAAACACGAGGATCACGAGTACAAGTAAGTGTCAACAACAATACATAATGATAATGTTAATTTAATTTAAATATAGTGGTCGTTTGAAATATGACAACTATAATATTTTGATGATTATATAGTTCATAATTAACGTATTTTTATCCAAGTAATTATATATATTTATCTATTTTTGCTATAAATTATTATTATCAGTATTTTTTTAATTTATCAAATTTTTAGTTTTATTTATGTAATTTTTACACTTATTTTATAGTTTCTCGAAAAATATTTATTTTATGTTGGATTAATATTTTCAAAAATTATATTTGCATTGTTGAAATTAGAATACTAATTGTGTCCAATTTGTAGTGTGAAAAAATGAATCGCTCATATTGTTTATCATTAAAATAATAAGGTAGTCATATTCCAAATGACCACTGTAGAAACATCCAATTTTTAATTTATTGGAGTACTATGCATTTGATATGTATTACGAGATCATTATGCTATTATGTAAGCCGAAGGATTCTATTAAGTTGATTCGTAAAAACAAAAATTGATAAGGGAATTCCTATCCACAAACATGCACAAACCTAATATTGGGTCATTTATGCCCTACTCCTACTATTATCGATCAAATGATTTTGGGATGAAATCTACTTGAACTTTTAAAGGGTGAATTTCTTTTTTGGCGACAGATGTGATGCATGTTGCCTGTACCTAAAGCAAATTGAATGTAGGTTGGTGTTGCATTGAAGTATAACATTTTCAAATGAGTGTCACAGATTGATAAATAAAAATATTAAGCATTACTTTCTCTTATTGCCATATAATTTTTCAGTTTTAGGCTAGATGAAAAGTCTTTGGATTTTTTGAAGTAGACTCTCTTTTTCAATTATGTGTACGACTTACACTCAGATCAAAAGGTACAAGAATTAATTTCATATCATTCAAACCCCAATTATATTTAAATTAGCCTATCTACATGCACATAATTATTGTTAGCTAGGATCAACGTGTTCTTTTCCAGGTTATAAACATTAATCTTAATAATTATCTAACTCATTGTTAAGAAATACTAACAATAAATAAGGTCTACTGTGTATATGCATGTAAATCTTATCTGTATATATGCATGTAAACGACAGATTCAAGTGTTGATTTTCTTACTCTTGTTAAATCCAACACTCTACTTGGTTGCGTAATAAAATATTTTAAGTAGGACCTTTTCTAGATAAGTTTGGTTCAATTATTACTCCACATTATTTTGGTCAATGAATTATTTTAACTAATGTAGTACACATATATATAAATAAATGGACTTTGGACCACGAGTTAAAAATAATATATTTCAAACACTAACATGTGAATTGGTTAAAAAATTCTACTCGTACTATATTCGTCCCTGTCATAAAAAAAAAAAAAAAATTGATTACAATTCAATTTGTAGATGCAATGTGATTAAAAAAAGGACATGATTGTAATAATTAAGGGTATGTTCTCATTGACTGAACTCAGCTGAACTGAATTGAACTGAGTTGAACTGAACTGAACTGAACTGAGCTAAACTGAGCTGAAATGAACTGAATATTTTATAAGCGAAGGAAATTAAGAGCTGAACTGAACTGAACTGAGCTGAGTTGAGCTGAACTGAACTGAACTGAACTTCAACGTAAGAGAACAGGCCCTAAATCAGCTAACCTTATTAGGTACATAAGTAATCTCATTAAATTAGAGCTTGTCTATATATACTAAAAAAAATAAATAAAAAAATTTAAAAAAGACAAAACCAAGTTAGTATTTAAAAATCAACCTAATAATTGAGCTCCGTCTGTAGCCATGTTAGTAACGAGGTTAATCGTAACGACGACTTATTTAAGTTTTGTCTTCATATATCATGACATTGAAATTTCAGGGGTTACATATGTAAATAAGAAAATAATATAAAACAATATGATATATTATCTTCAAAATTTCGTAGAATATTTTATATATAACTATCATCTTCATTAGTTTAAGACTCTTCATATGACTCTATATAAAGAGGGTCGTTTTTATAGTTTAACATTCCATTTTCTCCCTACTATTTATAAAAGTGAAGAAAGTCTGACACGAATTAAATTTAGGAAAAATTCCCCTAGACATATTAGCCTACTATTCTATTCGCCATTTTCTACCTAAAATGTAAGATTAGTAGGCCATACCCATTATTCCTTAATCCTTACAAAGTGAGAAATAAACACAAGCTATCTTATGTAGGGGTGTTCGCGGTGCGGTTTGATGCGGTTTGAATCATAAACCGCACCAAACAGAAAAAGTGCGGTTTGTAAATTTTTCAAACCGCACCAAACCGCACTTTTAAAAAAACCGCACCAAACCGCACCGCAAGATGCAATTTGCGGTTTAACCGTATTTTATTAAAATCGTAATTATTCTTTTTAAAGCAAAACTTTTGTTTTATATTATAATTATTAGTTGATAATTTAAATATTAAACTCTTTTTATTAACCTTTAATTAACTAATAGTAAAAAATTAGCTCATATATTTTAGTTCTTTTATATAATTTTAATGAAAATATAGTATAAAAATCGCAAACCACATTAAAGTTCGGTTAGCGGTGCGGTTTGGTCTCAATAATTTTGGAAACCGCATTAAACCGCAAACCACAATTTTCAAACCGCACCAAACCGCAAAATTGCGGTTTGGTTTGCGATTTGGTGCGGTCTAAACCGCACTCTGTACAGCCTTAATATTATGTTACCAATTACTCCTCCATCCTCTCTTATAAACCCTATCCTCAACTGTTGATTTTTGAAGATGTTTCACTCGTAAGAAAGCCCCAAATCTTATAATAAAAAGTTTTCTTTTTTACTTTCATTTGTGTTTTAAGTTTACAATAATGTTTTCTCCTTCTGAGAGGAACTGAACTTTTCTCCCTCGAAAAAAGGTTTTCAATCTTATACGAAAGATAATGTTTTTCGATCTCTTGCAAAAGATAAGATTTATCTCCTCTTTTCTAGGATAGGAGAAATTTCTTAATTTTAAATTCATAATAATAGATCTAATGGATTCTCGTGAAATGAAATTGTTTCGTCCATGAAAAAGTTTGAGAGATTGCAAAGACTACCGAGTTTTCAAATATATGTCGATGATCGTAAATCTTCTCTATAGATGTTGTATACTCATATGCTATTTTATTAATGAATTAATTTTATTTAAAAAAAATCACACACACAAGCCATCTTTGATGCTCCAGTTATTAAGAAATATGTCCATCTTTGTTTAACGTGTAGCTACAGTTTTTTCAATTAAGATGAATGGTCTTTATACTTTAATTACTATCTCCGATTCTTATTACTCGCAATAAAGAAATATTTTATGTCTCATAAATAATAACCCTTTATTGCAAGTAATAAGAACCGGAGGTAGTATAGTTTTGGTCAATTATAAGACATAGCAAAATTATATACAAGTACATATTTACATGTCATTACTGTTAAATTAGTCTTAGGGGCCGTTTGGTTGGGGGTATTCAACAAAGGGAATGGAAATCAACTACCATGAATCCCTTTGTTGATGTTTGATAGACAAAATCAATCATTCCCTTTACCCCTCCCATTACCCCATTTTCCTCTATCTTCATTCCCCCACCCCCCCCCCCCCAAGGGAATCACTCAAACCCCCAAATTCTTCTTCACCCAACTACCTTGACCAAATTTTTAACTACCTTGACCACTCTTGAAAACACCAACTGACTACCGACACCACCGCCTAGCCACCATCTAACCACCCTGACACCACCAGAACCATCGCCTAGACACCATCCAGCCACCCTGACACCATCAGAACCACCACCTAGACACCATCCAACCACCCTAACACCATCAGAACCACCACCTAAACACCATCCAGCTACCCTAACACCATCAGAACCACCATAACATCGTCGACGCCCCTGTCGCTCAACAAACCACCATCGAAACCACCTAAAACCACCGAAACCACCCAAATCCACCCGGAAAAAAAAATTCATCTTCCCCCTAATTACCCAACTTCATTGGAATTAACCCTCACCCACCACGTTCACCACTCATTATCCACAAAATCACCACACCCACCATGAAAACCACTACAAAAACTACTCCAAAAACTACTCCAAAAACCACCCAAAAACCCTAACCATTTCAACAAAAAAAACCCATAAACAACACCCAAACACCCAAAAAACAACATATGACACTCTATTAACAAACAACCTACTAGATCAATCAAAAAAATCATTTAAAAAAGAGAGAGAAGAGGGACAACATCAACAATTAGAAGGAAAAGAGGCGGCGGCGCGGTGGACGATAGAGGGCGGCGGTGTTGCAGGAAATTAGAGGGGAGTAGGTTGCCGGCAGGGAGGGGTGGGGACCGACGAAGGGGGTGGGGGAGCTCGGCGCCGCTGGGAGGAGGGTGGTTGGAGTTTCGTTGTTGGCAATGAGTTGGTACTTCCATGAAGTTCAATCTTCATTCCCTTTCCCCTTTGTGAAGTGTGAACAAACAACCTATAATAAATAAGGGAGTTGCTTTCCATGCTCCCTCTTTCCCTTTCTCTTAGTCTTTCCCTTTCCCCTTAGTGAACCAAACGACCCCTTAATATATTTTACAATTGTAATTAAAATTTATAAATTTTTCGTATATAATTAATACAAAGTATATAAATAAAGACTAATGGTCAAAATCGTGTGTGGAAAAATTTAAAGTTAATACAATGCATCCATGTAACAACGCTACAGAAATGGGCCTACATCGTAAAGAAGTGAAGCTATGTCCTCATAGAGCAAAGTCATTGGTTGCCCAAGCCAATGATGGTCATCAAATATTGAATTCATATCTCTCTCTTTTATTTCATTTATGTCTAATTCTCATACTCACTTATACCCATATATTCTCATTGGTTGTCCACTACTTACCCTGGTCATAAATATTTTCTTAAT